TATTAACTTGTTCTAAACGATACTTTGGAACAGCAAGTTTGTATTTGCATCTAGTGTTAAGATTATTAAGATTATATGTTTTTAAGAAACAGTTGAAGATTCCTGCGTATATATATATATATATATATATATATATATATATATATATATATATATATATATATATATATATATATATATATATATATATGTTTCTTAAAAACAGCGATCTTAATAATCTTAACACTAGATACAAATACAGTAAGAATATTTGCTTTCTTAATTGCTTAATTTCTTTCCTTTAATGGTAAGAATTAGCAGCGAACTTTAAGAAAGAGGCGAGCACAAAAGATCATGTAAAGGTCGCAGTGCCACAGGTTATTCTGCCTGAAAAAGTCTGTCTCTCAATAATAATAAAAAATACCCAAAATTGTATGATTAATAATGCAATACTCATTAGCAACGAATGAATACACCTCACCGTATTGGTTACGCTTCAAACTCTTTTCTTCTACATTCTTCACGACTCTGGAACGCGCTTCCAGATGCCATTAAGAGACTACCGACTAAACCGTCTTTCAAAAAAAGCGTTCACGCTCACTTTTTATCTTTATCCGAGCAGTAAGTGCTTTATATTATTCCCAATTTCGTGTATAATATAGTATATATCATATATGTGTAAGTATATTTGTTATTCATATATATTTATTCGTTTATATATGTAATTTTAGTATGTATGTATATCAATAATTAGTAGTACCGCATTCGAGTATTCTGACACTGCCTTATGGTTGACTGGGAGAGAATGCTTTTAGCATTAAGTCCGCCATGTACAGATATTTGTACTGATGACTCGTAAATAAATAAATACACAGTCTGCAAATCTGAATCCATTTATGTTGTAATGTTTGCCACCTTCTGTTTTATTTTGACGTTTACCATAGATTGTATTTTATAGTTGGTTGAGATCTAAGAACAAGGAATTGCATAGAAGGAGTAATAAAATTGTCAATACTTAGCAGGCTAGTGTATAGAAAATGTTATATGACGGTATAACCCTACCAAATTCAGATACAACCTGCATGAATTCTTTCAACATAAATTGTATCGAATATATAATCTAGCAATGTAAAATTTGTTATTGTCAAATATTTGACATATCAAACATCTTTTCTATACACTAGCCTTGAATTGAGAAAAATAGCAACTGAGGGTGTATCATTCTATCTCTTTTTACTAACTATATTTGAATAAGAAGAAAGGAGACAACCAAATGATTGGCAGTTTTTATTTTATCATTCCTTCTATGTAATTCCTTGTTCTTAGGTTGAGACTTTGGACATATTCACTTTAAAATAAAATGATTCACTGCTATTTTCTATATTTAACTTTAATTCAATAGTAAATAGCAATTTATTATAATTAAAAAGCATTCCTGGATTACATTAAAAAGAAATTATATGCTGACGTGAGTGAAATTTATAAGTAATTAAATTACGATTACTATAATAGTTATGATCGATAATAGGGTCTGTCTATCTCACTAAGGGGATAGACAGTCATCCGTGTTTGTTATTACTACTATTCCTAAAAAAAAAATTAAAAAAAAGTTTTTTTTTATGCAACTTAGAATTACAAACCAGCTGACGGCCCACCTGATGGAAAGTGGTAACTCGCCTATAGACAAGAGCAGTATCAAGGACATAACAGAGTATACTGTTTCGCCCGTGATAACTCCCATGCGTTGCCATTTCTGAGGACTCAGGTGTTATTCCTCTGTACCCTGTAAATTCAATACCATATATTCCATCCTTCAAACCGAAACACAGCCATGCAAACAAAACTTTTTCATGGTAGAACCACGAATACCAGAGGTGACCAAGCAAACGAAAATAAGTATCATGTTAAATAAATATCGTTATATAATTGTTGTTCTTATACATTATTATATTTGTATTACGTATTTTTTACCTATTTTTCCAGAGGGAGACTTTGTACAAAAGTCGATTGCTTGGGTACCTCTGTCCCATTCATGTTTCAACCATGAAGCAGTTGTGTTTGCATGGCTGTGTTTCGGTTTTAAGGGTGGGATATGGCGTGAATTTACAAGGTACAGAGGAATAACACCCGAGTCCTTAGGAATGGCAACGTAGAGGTTATCATGGGCGAAACAGTATACTCTGTTATGTCCATGGTACTGCTCATGTCTATAGGCGACGGTTACCACTTTCCATCAGGTGGGCCGTCAGCTTGTTTGCCATTCTAAGTTGTATAAAAAAATCAAAGCATGTTAATTAAATCAATACATATAATAAAATCGTAAGTGTTCGTTGAAATGGCTGAAACTTTTTTTATTATACATATGTATTGGTTTTCGAAATTTCCGTCTGCTCGTGCAAAGCCGGGTCGGATCGCTAGTAATAATAGTAATAAAGTAGAATGTTGCCTTATAAGGATGCTAACAGTTTGGATTTCACTCTCTACATATCGCTATATCAGATCTATATATAGAATCTATACTATAACTTACATAACTATATATTATTCACGATTTCGCGTTATATTCTTGCAACTATTAGCATATAATTAAGAAATATTGGTGTATTTCCCTAATTTAGTCAATATAAAATTATATGTTTTTTTTTATGCAAGTTAGAATAGCAAACAAGCTGACGGCCCACCTGATGGAAAGTGGTAACCGTCGCCTATAGACATGAGCAGTACCATGGACATAACAGAGTATACTGTTTCGCCCATGATACCCCCCATGCGTTGCCATTCCTGAGGATTCAGGTGTTATTCCTCTATACCCTGTAAATTAACTGCCATATCGCACCCTTCAAACCGAAACACAGCCATGCAAACACAACTGCTTCACGGTTGAAACACGAATGGGGCAGAGGTACTCAAGCAACTAACTGCGGTTGCCAACCAGCTTACCAACCGTGGCAATTACTGGCAAAACCCTTGGGGGGTTTATTATGGTTATGGGAAGGTTTAGCAGTGGTCAGTTAACAACTGATCCGATGGTTTCCTTTACAAGGATTTCATAAACATGTGGCAGTTTTAACACGTGACGAAATCGTGCCTTCGCGCAAGTACTCATAAAACATGGTTATCGGCACGAACCGAACTATCGTCGTAACACAACGCACCGATTAAAATGTAATCGACGATTGCAAACAGCGAGATGTGACACGGCCTCCCAAACGTGTACTATCAATTATAAAAAAAAAATAATTACAAAATCAAATTATCTATACCTACGATTACTTAATTAAAAAAAAAAAAGAACTAAGATATCAATTGGTACTTTCATATATACATAATACATAGTGGTGTAGGTATTGAAATATCGACTTTAATGTTGACTAAATTAATATGAAACCAATAGGGGAGTAAATCATTGTGTTTCTACCGTGAAGCAGTTGTGTTTGCATGGCTGTGTTTCGGTTTGAAGGGTGGGATATGGTAATGAATTTACAGGGTACAGAGGAATAACACCTGAGTCCTCAGGAATGGCAACGTATGAGGGGTATCATGGGCGTAACAGTACACTCTGTTATGTCCATGGTACTGCTCATGTCTATAGGCGACGGTTACCACTTTCCATCAGGTGGGCCGTCAGCTTGTTTGCCATTCTAAGTTGTATAAAAAAAAGTCAACCTTTAGCAAAACAGAAATGTAATTATGTGCTGAACAATTGAAATTTGAAAATTGTATGTTGATGTCTTATTAATTATTAGTTTTTATCCGCGATTCTGTCCGTGTGATTTTTTTTGATGGGTGAAAATGGTATGGTAACCCTGCCTGCGGTAACGGAATACACTGGCGGAGTACCAGTGAAGGGTGATAGATGAGAATGAAAACAGGCCAGTTAGCCCATCATGATGAATTCATCAGGAATTAACCATGATAGTCTCCAAGGAGAACCGCGAGGAGGTCGACCTGGTTGGGTATATTGCTAGCAATGGGATTCTTAGTCTCCATTACTAACAATCTCTTTCCCCCTCTGTCCGTGTGATTGACATATTATGACTATCTGAGATAAAAAAAGAAAAACTATTTCCTTTTTCACCGTATAAAGTATCTTTATACCAAAACCATAGTGTTTGGTTCAGCCGTTAAGAAGTTAAAAGATATGAAAATAATAAACTCACTTTCACATTTATAATATTAGTAAAGATCTAAACTATAAATAGGAAAGATTTGATTGTTTGTGTATAATGGATAAACTCAAAAACTAGTTAAATATTTTTTTTAATTTTACCTGTATAAAGCTACATTACATACTACATACATAGCCTTTTTAAAATTATATATATATATATATATATATATATATATATATATATGAATATATATATTATATGAAAACCTGATATTTACATAAACAAAAAAATTCGCCAAATATATGCAGACATTCTGAAATGATGCGTTCATAGAGTTATATTCGGTAAGAATCTGAGAAGATTTATATTTATATATATAGATATATTAATTAAAGTTTGTACATAAACTGGTTTTATTTGCTATAATAATTGTTTTTCAAAACTAGAAATGAAAAATGAACAATTTGTAATTTTTTGAATTGTATCTGTATATTTTTTATACTATCACTATCACGTGAAAAATAACTACTAAATGGATAATAATAAAATTTTACATTCTGTTAAGAATTAATCCACTAGTTTAAAATATTGGTCTGATATATTTTAAAATAAATCAACTAATAATATTTAAATTTTAATTTGTGTACTTGCTGGTTATAAATAAATTTAAAATTAAAAAAAAATGCATTTCAAATTTTATGTACGTGTGTCATTTAAAAATTTGCAAAATGATAGCATTAAATACTTTTCAACAGAATATTCCATATAAAATATACAATAGCATACCTATTAATATAAGTACACTTCATTCATTAACGTTAATATCTAATTTATTTAATTACTTAAAAATATTCCGGTTGCGAAATAATAAGGCGTGACACCATACAGAATTATCACTCTCAAACTTGCCGAGACTTTCAGTGCAGGCAGCGCTTCCTTCCGGGCAACCTTGCGTTTGCAGCGAGTCGGCGCCCGCGCCAGTCCGCGACTGGCCACCGTAGCGCTCGTACGCGCTACAACACGCTCCTCCCGCGAAAACACGTGACAATACGCGAGTACAACAAACAATTTTGGATTGACGGACGGTGCATGTGTACAAGTGGCTGCCACTCAGTGCTTTGAAGTGGAGGCTCGGGCCGCCGGCGCCGCTGGGCCCGTGATCGGCCCGAGCGGCGGTATGGAATCCCCGCAAATGTACGATGCGGCGGCAGCACCGCCGCCGCCACCGCAGCCAGACCTCAAGAAGGCAGTTGATGATAAAAGACCAGCGTTTCCTCCTCCGGACCTAGACGAGCTCAATGGACAGGAAATTAGCTTGGACTTGCAACACCTCATCGAGGACCAGTTCCGAGGGGAAGAGACCATGGCCCTCTTCCAGGAAATACTTCCTGGTGGCCGCTCTCCACAACCAAGACAGAGTTTTGCCCGAACAACCTTGGCATATATGCCCCAGCCGGTACACTCAGGCGCGTCCTATGCTGCTCCCGTGCCAACGAGCTCAGGGCATGAGCAACAAGCGCCGCCAATAAAGGAGGAACCACCAGAGCCTCATGATTTCAGGAGATCGGTGACGTGTGCACAGTATACTGGTCAATATAATCCTCAACCACCAGTTGGTGTAGGTGGTCCGTATGGCGGCGGATTTACGCCATTACCACCATTGGGTGCTCCGTTACTGCCGCCTCTACTCAAACACAAGCCTGCACCAGCGAGACGCTCTTCAGGCAAAGTGATAGACAAAGGTACAGACGAATATAGGAGGCGGCGGGAGCGCAACAATATAGCGGTCAGGAAATCACGGGAAAAAGCAAAAGTGCGTTCCAGGGAGGTGGAGGAAAAAGTTAAAACGTTGTTAAGGGAGAAAGAGGCGTTGCTAAAGAGGCTGGAGGCAGTATCGGGAGAGTTGAGCCTACACAAACAGATGTACGTTCATTTAATCAATTTGAACCATCCTGAGATCACGGAGCTTTGCCGATCGATGCTGCAACTTGGAGCCCCTCATGCGCCTGATCACACGCTTTGACCGTATGTGAGTGTGCGTTACCTTTTTGTTGTGTGCATCCGTTGGCTACATTGCGGCATAATGTACGTATGTATTATTTTTTCTGTGTGTGAAAATCGTAAATCACAAGCTGTAAAGAAAAAAAGATTTTATGGAAGTGTTATGCAATCTATATTTGCTTGCAAGAACTGTTTATAGGAACAATTTTCTTCCATTCACCATTGACTATCATTAGGCGATCGGACATTGTTGTTTCCATAATTTATTCTCTGTTATGCTGTTATTAAAATGACACATTTAAATTAAGCGATGCAACTTTCGATCGATTCCTGCGTTACCAATTACGCATCATTGGAGAATAACATGCTTTCTTTACAATCACCGTTTTGAATAAGCATACGGCGCTATCAGAAGTTTTATAATAGCATTTGTTATAATTGCGTTAACATGATTCAACACACGTGATAATGTTATAACAAAGTCACGTGTATTACAAAAGCTTTTGCGAGCAAGGGAAAACATGTTGAGGGTATTTGAAAAATTATAGTAATCTATTTACGTTATTTGTGATATATTGCAAAGCAATGTTAATTATTCCCGTTAAAATAGGTATCTGGTCTATTGTAGCTATAAAAATTAAACGTTAATATAGATTTATGCAATGTTTAAATGTTCTATTATTATTTAAATAAATTGCCTTATAATCATGATTCACATACAAATAGGTAATTAAAACAGGTTCCAAATTATCGGTGTTGAAAATAATTTCGTTCAATTTTGCTGTTAGAAATTACTACATACATACATATCTGTCACGCCTGTCTCCCATTAGGGTAGGCAGAAACAATGGAACGCCAAATGATTCGATTCAAACAAACCTCTTTCGCTTCTTCCACATTCATCAATCTTTTCATACACGCTCGCCGGTTACGGGTACTTTTAATTAAGTCCTTCTTCAGCACGTCGCTTATTTGGTCGACATACTTCTGTCTAGGGCGGCCCCTACCGACCTCTCCATTTATTCTTGATAAATCTTTTTCGTAATTCTTCTTTCATCCATCCTCACCGAATGGCCAAACCAACGCAACATTCCTTTTTCGATTTTTAGAAATCACTAATAAGTTTTTATTGTTTCACATTTCATTCAATATTGAAATTACATTTGTCGTATTAATAAAACTGTTACATATCTAAAATAATATCAACTGAATAATGTAAAATATTGTAAATATATGAATATATTTTTAGATTTTTTACTTTAGTTTTTTTTTACAATTATTTTGTTCTCTTGAAATCATCTTCAATATAAATATTGAAGAATTGTTTAGGAAAATGCTTAAAAATATTGGCTTATTTGTGGGTAAGAGTGTAAAAATATTACTAGATACCTCTGGCATGAGAGGTAGTACCTGTAAAGTTATTTAAGTGTAAAATATCCAAGGTGTATTTCTCATTGTAAATATGGGTTAGACTAGGCTTAGGATTAAGATATATAGGCTTAAAAGTTCTTCCCAAAGAATGAATATTTCTTTCTCTCGTTCTGAATAATTTATTCCAATGACAATTTATTAATTATTTGCTCAATCGGTAATAAATTTCGCCATTAAAACGGATCTTTGTGTCGTGTTTATATAATTTACAAGTATTATAATGATTTATTGAATTCATGTACACAATGTCTCGATTTAGAATTTGGAGCCAATATCATGGGACGCGACCTGCGACCAAACGAGTAACTGTCACTTTCGAACACGGATGGTCCATCGAATGTGATTGGATTATATTTAAAAGTCGAAGTCGCTTTGTTATTGTGATATTTATCAATAGAGAGTTGCTTATGTAGTTTCTAAATTAGATTTTGGATATCATTTTTTTTTTTCATTGTTAACACTCTATTGTCGAGAATAAAAATGTTAAACGTAGCTGTGTACATATAATTGCTTTGCCTATTTCTTTTTTTTTTCGACGTGATTACATCAATTATTGTAAAATTGTTGCGTTTATGGTTTTAAAATGATTTCTAGAAGTAATAAATAACATTACCAAAAAATGTAAATAATAGACGTGAAGATATGTATATTAGAGCTATTTCACTTATAAAAAAAAAAAAAAACTAAAAATAAAAATGACTATAAAAAGTATTAATAAGGCTGTATATAAACATTAGAAACAGTCGTGTTGTTTTAATTAAAAAATTAAATCTGATTAAAAAATAGAAATAAGTATAGAGAGATACTTATATCAGTTCTCATAAATAAATTTTTATGTAATTTGAGATTACGAGTGCTTTTTGTTTCTTATTCTAAGAATAAAAAGCACGGAATAGAGCAAATAATAAAAAAAAAAAAAATAGGTGGGTATAGATTAAAGAAATAACAAATGAATAAACTGTATAAATTTATTTAAGAGTGCTCTCAAAACCTCAGAATATTGGACTCATCAAAAATGGAAGGCGTATGCAAGAATGCGGATTTGCTCGCTTGATTTATAATCATCGCTTGTCCATATAATAGAATTCACAAATTGCAGCCAGTTTCTTTTAAAATAAATAATAAATTAAATATTGATAACGGATAAGTGGTTGCAATTAAATTTAACCACGATCAGTGTAAACAATAATGGCGTGCTATTTAAAACAAATTAAAAAGACAAATAAAATAGGAGGAGGCTACCAGGAAAACATAACACGGAAGACATTGGACCGTCATCAATAGTCGAAGTCGAAGAAAAAATATAACATCAAATTCAGCCGTCCGCGAGACCTTAAAGCATTTACAATATTATTATTGTCTATGATTGTCTAATTTTTTTAAAACGTACATCATGATGTATAAAGTTTTTTCTATTTCTAACATTTTTATTGAATTGTCTTGCACAAAATCTTTTATTGACCTTTCAATGAAGTATTAACGCAAAGGTTTGATGACCTTTGCACCGATTATTCGATAGAACTTAATATGAAAAGCAAAATTGTTTAAATTCTTTTAGAAATTTGTTTAGAATAGTTTTTAGAGGAATCTTAATTGTATTTTTAATGCCTAAAATATAAGTATTTATTTTGTTATATAATGAGTTTTATTTTTGTTAGTACATGTCCTGAGTATCTAGTAAGATCTCAAAAATATTATGCAACTTAATACAACTAATATTAAAGTTTTACAAGAGCCTCATCCAATAAAAAGTCGATGAATAGCGACCTTTTGTCATTGATTTTATTTCGAATATTGTCATTGACTGTATTTCGAAATTTCAGTTAAAATTACATAATATTCTATTTATTATCTATAGAAAAGTGACAACATATTAGGAAACATTTCATCGATCGATTCAGTTTTAATTGCAAATTTCTGTTTATTATGATAACGGTATCTGGTTCATAGCTTGCTTGCATAAGTTAATCTTTACGTATGAATATTGCTAAATCAACTTAACCTAGCTAACAAGAACACGTAAGCTGTTTTGGTGAAATTTAAAGTAATTTTTTGTCCCATCTGAAACATCTAAGTAAGCCTTAAGCCGAGATACCAGGGCACCAGATTCCATAAAGAGCAACTCATAACTCTTTAATGCCGGATCGAGAATTCAGTATTCAAATTCGTTTCTGCAAAACGTTGTCTGCTCGCAACTTTCATTTTCACCGCAAAACTTAAGTGCACAAAAATGAACCATAACATAACAATTGTAAGTTAGCGTTTCGGTTGGCGCTATTGAAATTTTCGACTCTCGTGCCCTACTTAACGGCTTCCGTCGGTTTGACTTGTTGATTTTAACTATTTTATGTTTGCTCGCTTACGGAACAATGGTTTGGGTGGTTTTTAGTTTCAGTTAAATGCAGGAAAGTGTAAAATGTACAGTGGGTGATTTAGAGGTTACATGAATAACTAATCGATGAAATGTTCTTGTTGTTAACTCTCACGCGGTTTCACTAAGGACATTAACATTTGCCAAATATATTATTTATAAGATTTCTGATTTTATTAGCATTTCACTATTGGTTATTTCTCCATTCTAGAGAATTCAGAGGAATAAGAATTTTAGCGTAAAAAAATCGTCTGTTTGGATACCTCTGTCCCATTCGTGTTTCTACCGTGAAGCAGTTGTGTTGGCATGGCTGTGTTTCGGTTTGAAGGGTGGGATATGGCATTGAAATTACAGGGCATAACATCTTAGTCCTCAGAAATGGCAATGCCTGAGGGCGAAAGATAATTTTTTTATATATTTTTTTAAATACAAGGACTGACCGTATATCATAGATATTAATAATTATAATATATATATATAAAAAAAGAATAAAAAAGAATAATATATAAAAAAAACAAAAATAAAAAATAAATAAATAAAAAAAAATAAAAAAAAATGAATATAAGTGATATAAGTTTTACTGTATCAAAATTAGAACAAAAATAATAATATATATATATATAAAAAGCATATGTATATGTACTAGTACGTATATTTGGTATTATAAAAATATAATAAAATACTAATAACCAGCAGCTGTGCATACATCGTTCAGTTCGTCATTATACACACCCTCTGTGTGTTTTTGTAGTGTGTTTTCATAAACGCCCTGCGTCATCTCTTACGGCCGGTAATCGGTCGTCCCTCGAACTGGAGACCGGTAGACAGCAGAGGTCGCCAGTTCGGGGGCCGACCACATACTCTTTTTTGTTGCAGTATCCGGCCGTAATGCTCCTCAAATATTGCATCTAAATTGCGTCCACCATGTACCCTCTTGTATAGGCATTCCGTCACCCGTATCCAATAGCGAGGACGGGATGCCTTAAATATTGCACCGCAAACCATAAAAAAAAAGACCGTATATTGTACGTACATATATGTACGTAACTATATTATATTAAATGTGTACTATATGCCCTGGCCATATGGTGCGTATGGCAACAGTTAATAATTATAACACTGCAAAATCAACTTTCGTTGAAAAAAGCAATCGTTAAGTCTTCTCAGCTGAGCGATAGAATCGATAGGTGATATGAAAATAGGCCCTCTAGACAAGTGACAAGCGAATCCATCTATGGAATTGACATCGCTAGCGAATCCACAAGATAGAATGGGACAGCAACGTC